TTTTTTTTTTTTTTTTTTTTTTTGAGACAGAGTCTTCCTTTGTCGCTAGGTGCCAGGCTGGAGTGCAGTGGCGCGATCTCTGCTCACTGCAATCTCCGCCTCCCGGGTTCAAGCACTTGTCCTGCCTCAGCCTCATGAGTAGTTGGGACTACAGGCATACAGTACCACGCCCAGCTAATTTTTGTATTTTTAGTAGAGATGGAGTTTCACCATGTTGGCCAAGATGGTCTTGATCTCTTGATCTCGTGATCTGCCCGCCTTGGCCTCCCAAAGTGCTGGGATTAAAGGCGTGAGCCACCAAGCCCGGGTGTTTTTTGGATTTTTGTTAGAATTAAGACAGGAGAAATTTGAGCACTGTAGGGAAGATTCAACTGAGAAATAATGTTTGAATAAAGGAAGAGAAGGGATAGTCAGTAGGCAAAGTTCTTGAAAGGGTAAGAATAGCAACAGTTTAGAGGCAGTTCAAAGCACTGGTGAGAGGAGTGGTTTTGGAAGAAGGGAGGGAGGGAGAAAGAGAGAGATGATACTTCCCCAATTATGAGAGGAAGAATGTGTCTGTTTGTATGTTTAGTAAAAGGAAGTTAAAGTTCTCTTTTGATGACCTGTTTTCTCTGTGAAGTTGGAGATAGGGTCATCTGACAGAAAATGAGATAGTATCGGGAGTTTAAATGAAAGTTGAGAAGATTTGGAATATTGTAGAAATTAATACAACAAATTGACAGAAAAACATTGTAGGACTGGTAAGCAATATTGAGGGCCTTTTTAATATGGGCAAAAATGAACTCACCATTTTCTGCCCTCCTGTGTAGCTTTCTCAAGCAGTAGTCACTTTTCAAGGGCAGAGGTGGAGAAAATGCATAGTTGAGTTCATTTAGGGTTGGGATGGTCATTGATATAATTCCATGGTTCTCAACCAGGGACAATTTTGTCCTCCACGGGATATTTAGCAATGTCTGCGATAACAGGGAAATGGGGGGTGGATACTACTACCATCTTGTCCAGCGATGCTGCTACATACACACACATACACACACACACACACACACACACACACACACACACACAGAAAGAGAAAGAGAGAGAGACAGAGAGAGAGACAGGGTCTTGCTCAGACTGGAGGGCAGTGGTGTGATGTTGGCTCACTGCAACCTCTACCTCTTCAGCTCAGATCCTCCCACCTCAGCCTCCCAAGTAGCTGGGACTACAGGTGTGCACCACCACACTCGGCTAACTTTCACATTTTTTGTAGAGACGAGGTTTCACCATGTCACCTAGGCTGGTCTCAAACTCCTGGATTCAAGCAATCTGTCTGCCTTGACCTCCCAAAGTTCTAGGATTACAATGTGCTAGATTACATAGTTCTAGGATTACACAGTGCTCCTGATCTGCTGCTAAACATCTTATAATGCACACAATACCCTTGACAACAAAAAAGTATATGTTCCAAAATGTCAGTAATCCCAAAGTTGACAAACCCTCAAGTAGCTTACCTTAACACTCACCAATATCTGACTGTGGTCTTCTAAAGGCTTTTCCTTGAACGATGGGCCAGAGTTTACAGGGTAAAATAGTTCTTCCATTGCATGCCTTTGAAGGAGAATAAAATGAGCAGCATACCACAGCCCTTGAGTGTTTCAAGGACTTGTGATGTCACAAACACAGAACTGGAAGTTTCCGAAACCTCTAGAAGCAAATCTGGATTTACATAGAGATTAATGTAACCGCTCACTTTTATTTGAGACATTGAAGGTCTGGTTAAACAGAGATGTTATAATCTCAATAATATAAGGGGAACATTTCACATAATGATCAACCTTAATGTCATTTCCTTTATCTGACTAGTCTCAGTCACCAAAATTATGGCTCTGAGAGAATGGTATGGGCTAAGTTTAATAATAAATATAGGTGGCCGGGCACGGTGGCTCACACCTGTAATCCCAGGACTTTGGGAGGCCAGAGCCCGCAGATCACTTGAGGTCAAGAATTTGAGACCAGCCTGGCCAACATGGCGAAACCCTGTCTCCACTAAAAATACAAAAATTATCTGGACATGATGGTGCATGTCTGTAATTCCAGCTACTTGAGAGGCTGAGGCAGGAGAACTGCTTGAACCCGAAGGCAGAGGTTGCAGAGAACCAAGATAGTGCCACTGCACTCCAGCCTGGATGACAGAGCGAGACTTCATCTCAAAAATAACAATAATAATAATAAATGTAGGCTGGGCACAGTGGGTGACACCTGTAATCCAGCACTTTGGAAGGCTGAGGCAGGTGGATCACTTGAGCCCAGGTGTTTGAGACTAGCCTGGGCAAGATGGTGAAACCCATCTCTACTTAAAAAAAATTATAAATACCTTAGGCATGAGTAAGAATAAAACCAGTTGCCAGGCGCCGTGGCTCACACCTGTAATCCTAGCACTTTGGGAGGCCGATGGGTGGATCACATGAGGTCAGGAGTTCAAGACAAGCCTGGCTATCATGGTGAAACCCCATCTTTATTTAAAAAAAAAAAAAAATATATATATATATATATATATATATAAACAAAACAAAAGAATAAAACCAGTTATAATGGAATGTCTGCTCTGTGATAGGCAGCATTCATAGATAAACACTTGACTATGTTATTTAATTTTAGCAACACCCTGTGAGATAACATTATCCTAATCTTAGGGTTTTTTGTTTGTTTGCTTTGTTTTTTTTGAGACCCAGTCGCTGTCTGTTGCCAGGCTGGAGTGTAGTGGCGTCATTTTGGCTCACTGCAACCTCTGTCTCCCGGGTTCAAGCCGTTCTTCTGCCTCAGGCTCCTGAGTAGCTGGGACTACCGGCGCCCGCTACCACATCCGGCTATTTTTTTTTTTTTTTTTGAGTAAAGAAGGGGTTTCACCATGTTGGCCAAGATGGTCTCGATCTCCTGGCCCACCCGCCTCGGCCTCCCAAAGTGTTGGGATTACAGGCATGAGCCACAGTGCATGGCCCAACATTATCCTAATTTTAACTCAAGATCTTGCGGTTCCAAGAAAAATTTTAATTTACCCAAAGTCGTAAATTATTAGTAGCTAGTCCAAGATCTGAAACTCGGGCAGGTCTGTCCTAAAAGCTCCTGCACCTCCCATTAAATTTTAGTAAACTTTACAAGGAAGGGGTGATTTCAAAATTTAGCCTTAACAGTTGCCACTGACTAAAGGAAATGGCGGGACACCAAGGAAGGTGCTAGAGGGAGGCCGGGAAAGAACAAGGAGAAATAAGGAAAATGAAAAAGGGACCAGGAAGGCTGTTCACAGCGTCCGATGCTGCGGACCGACTCTCCCGCAAGTTGGCCTGCCTTTGTTCCTCCTCCATTCTTTTTGAGAAAAACCTCTTCCTGCGTGTCCGTTGTTCGCTCTCTTGTGTTCAAATAAAGCTAGATTATTGAGAACGGCGGCAGGCAAAGGAAAAAAAAAAAAGAGCGTGACGGCTTCGCTGTGCGCCTGCGCGCTGGCGGCGGCTGTGGCGGGGCCCGGCGGGGAGCGGGTCCGGAGCAGGCTCCCGGACCCAAATCTGAAGGGGGAGTGTGGGGCGTCAGGGAGCTCCCTCGCCTGGCCTTCGGCGGCCTGATGGAGTAAGAGGGGTTGGCTGTGAATGTGAGTATCGATGGGCCGGCCTGCGTTGAGCGTATTGGAGCGCAAGGGTCCTGCTGGTCTGTCCCTTAGGGAGGTTGTAGGGCTGCAAGACCCGGCCGGCTTTCTGCTCCGGCAGGCTGCGGCGCAGGGGTAACCCAGGGGTCCACTCTCCCAGAGCCGGCGCGGGATTACAGGCAGGCGGTGCTGCTGGCTTCGGGGTACGGATTTTCGTGGGGGCGTTCCAGCTCTGCTCCCAGCCCCAGAAGGAAACGTGGCTCCAAAGCCTTGACCTTTAGGGGAAGCCGCTGACCTCCTTCGGTCCTCAGTTGGGCAGGGAGTCCAAAGACCCTGGTGCTTAAAGCCCATAGTGTCAGGCCCGGGACACATTTCAACCTCCCGCGACTGACAACCTTCGTTCCTTTTCCTCCTTTCGTTTCTCTACTTGTGTGATGCATCTTAATAATAGCAACTAATTATGGAGCGGTTACTGTGTTCATTTAATATTTAGTCAGAATCTCCGTTTATAGTTATGGAAAGGAAACGCCTTACACCCTCCTCCTCCCCTTTCAGTTGTTTAATCATCTTTGAGAGTAAGATTTGTTGAGAAGTTTGAGATATTCATGGCTTTTAGCAACTTGAGACTGCCATTCTAGGTAAGGGAAGTTCTCTTGCTTAGCAAACAAGTGCTGTATCCACCGTAATGGTTTACATCCAGTCTATTCAAACCAAAAATAACTTCTGAGTACTTACTAAGAGCTTAGTACTGTTGTAAATCCCATGGGAAACCTTAAAATTTGCTTTAAGGGCCGGGCGCGGTGACTAACGCCTGCGATCTTTGGGAGGCCTAGGCTGGTGGATCACGAGGTCAAGGAGTTCAAGACCAGCCTGACCAAGACGGTGAAACCCTGTCTGTACTAAAAATACAAAAAATTAGCCGGGCGTGGTGGTGGGCGCCTGTAATCCCAGTACTCTGGAGGCTGACGCAGAGAATCGGTTGAAACCCGGGAAGCGGAGGTTGCAGTGAGCCGAGACCGCACCACTGCACTCCATCCTGGGCGAGAGAGCGAGACTCAGTCACAAAAAAAATTTTTTTTTTTTTTCTTTAAGCCCTGTTCTCAAGTTTGGTCTTGAATGAAATAAGAGACGACAATATTCAGATGCAACTAGAATTTATTTAGTATCTACTACACATTTGCAAAATACATTTAGGTGTGTCATAAAAATATTAACGAGATACTGTAATGGAAAGTAGGTTTTTGCAGCATTTCAAATGAGATCGCAGGGATTCTGCTGGAAATTGCTCAAGCTAAACTAGCTAGAGTAAGTGGTGAAATTCACTTAATACAATTCCAAAGCACGTCTTTTCCCAAGCAAACTGCATTACAGTTATAGTTTCTAGCGTTAACTCCTTTTTCCGGAGACGAGTCTTGCTCTGTCGTCCAGGCCAGAGTGCAGTGGAGCACACCCTGCTCACTGCAACGTTCGCCTCCCTGATTAAAGCGATTCTCCTGCCTCAGCCTCCTGAGTAGCTGGGATTACAGGCACCCACCACCATGCCCGGCAAATTTTTGTATTTTAGTAGAGACACTGTTTCATCATGTTGGCCAGGCTGGTCTCGAACTCCTGACCTCAGGTGATGCGCCTACCTCAGCTTCCGAAAGTGCTGAAATTACAGGCTTGAGCCACCTCGCCCAGCCTGGATCGTTTTTGATTAAAAGGAAGATACTAAAAAAGTCATAGATTTCATCTGATTTTTATATCTCTTGAATTCTCTTTTAATCTAGAACAGTTACGTTTCCCCCTCTTTCCCTCGATACCCCCTCCACGTGAGTTGTTGAAAGGACCTGGTCAGTTATCTAGATTTGTCCTTGATTGGCTTCTGGTGATAGCATTTAACTTGTTACTACAAACCGGAAGTTAGAGCAGATCACGTGATATGATTCAGGTGAAACTATGAATAGTGATTCTTGTACATTTAGATTAGAACACATGTAGTTTGAAGGCTGCTCTACAAGAGTAGAAAGGAATAATGGTAGATGCTAGATGACTTGGCTCTGGGACCAGGAATGGGTTAGTGAGAAGCCTATGCATTGTGTTTTGTAATTGGAGAATCTTGGAGAGTTCAGGATTAATTTGTGTACCCAATGAATAAGAGGACCGAGGCAGACAAGTTAGGTGTGAATACTCTACTTGGACCTCTAGCATGTGAAATCACTAGTGGAAGCCCTACAGTCCAGTGTGTGTGCATGCATGTATTAATCTGAAAGAAACTATCAAGAAGTTCCCAGGTGTTCATCAGTAAAGGATTGGTTAGATAAATATATCCATGTGCTAGAAAGAATGAGCCAGCTCTATATGTGCTAATATTGAGTGACCTCCGACATAGTGAGAAAGAAAAGGTGCAAAAGAAGGTGTGCATTTTACAACCACTGTAGTTTTATAAAAATGTATGTATTGCATATACAATTGGTCCTCTATATCCATCCATGGGATCTGCATCCATGGATTCAACCAAGTTTGGATGGATAATATTTGGGGGAAAAAATTTTCACGAAGCTCTGAAAAGGAAAACTTGAATTAGCTACCTGCTGAGTACGTACTACATTGCATCCACAGAAATGAAGTTACGTGTAGGCATTGTAGTAGGTCTTGTATGTAACGTAGAGATGATTTAAAGTATACAGAAGGTATGTGTAGGTTACATGCATATACTATGCCGTTTCACATATGGGTCTCTAGGATTCTCATGTTTTGGTATTGAGGGGGATCCTGGAACCAGTTCGCCATGGATAGTGAGGGACAACTGTATGTGCATAGAATATCCTGTGTGGAGTACGGTCAAAATCATAGAGGCAGAAAGTAGAGTGGTTGCTAGGGGTTGGGGAAGGGGGAAATGAGGAGTTATTGTTTAACAGATACAAAGTTTCAGTTACGCAAGATGAAAATAGTTATGGAGATGGATGGTACTGATGTACATTATGAATGTATTCAATACCACTAAACTACACTTAAATGTTTAAGATGGTAAATTTTATGTATTTCAACGCAAAAATATTGAAAAATATCTCCAGAAAACAAACCTCTAAGAGTGGCTGGAATTGTTGGTGGCTAGGAAACAGAAGGGACTGGTAATCATGTTCCCTAAAAGCTTTTTTTTTTTTTTTTTGAGACAGGGTCTTGCTCAGTCACCTAGGCTGAAATGCAGTGGCATGATCATGGCTCACTGCACCTCACACTCCTGGGCCCCAGCAATCCTCTTCCTGCCTCAGCCTTCTTAGTAGCTGGGACTATAGGTGTGTTCCACCATGCCCAGCTAATTAAGAAAAAAAAAATTGTTTTGTTTTTTTGGCTGGGCGTAGTGGCTCAAGCCTGTAATCCCAGCACTTTGGGAGGCCAAGGCTAGTGCATCATGAGGTCAGGAGTTGGAGACCAGCAAGAACAACATGGACCGGGTGCAGTGGCTCACGCCTGTAATCCTAGCACTTTGGGAGGCCGAGGTGGGTGGATAACCTGAGGTCAGGAGTTCAAGACTAGCCTGGCCATCATGGTGAAACCCCATCTTAAAAAAAAAAAAAAAAAAGAACAACATGGTGAAACCTCGTCTCCACTAAAAATACAAAAATTAGCCAGGCATGGTGGCACACACCTGTAATTCCAGCTACTCAGGAGGCTGAGGCAGGAGAATTGCTTGAACCCGGGAGGCAGAGGTTGCAGTGAGCCCAAATTATGTCACTGCACTCCAGCCTGGGCAACAGTCTCCTGGGACTACAGGTGTGCACCACTAAACCTGGCTAATTTTTTGCATTTTAGTACTATTGTATTTGTATTTTTTGTATTTTTGTATTTGGCCTATTCTTGACATTTAATGCCTAAATATTTTAATGTCTCTAATAAGAACATTCTCCCACACAATCCTAATATAATTACAGTGAACAATAAGTAATTCCTCTATTTTGTCTAATACTCAATTCTTACTAAAATTTCTCCAGATTGATCATTTTTTAAAAAAACTTTTAAAATCCAGTTTCTAATCAACAGCCACAGATTTAATTTGATTTTTATATCTCTCCAAGTCTCTTTTAATCTAGTACAGTTACCTTTTTCCATCTCTTTCCCTCGATACCCCCTCCACATGACTTGTGAGAGGACCTGGTCAGTTATCTAGATTTGTCTCTGATTGGTTTCTGGTGATATAATTTCACTTGTTACCACAAACTGGAAGTTAGAGTGGACCACTTGATATGATTCAGGTGAAACACTTTAGGGACAGTAGCATACTCCATGTTGTGTACTTTAGCTTTCCAACTATTATTGGTGCTGAGATTGATTAGTGAGGTCAGATGAAGAATCTTTGAGTTCTCCATTGTTAAATTAATGTCTCTGTTTGAAACCAGCTGTAAGCCCTTTTGTACCTTTTACTTTTTGAAACCACTAGCATTAGTTCTATTCAAAATAGAAGTGATTACTTTTAAAACAAAGCTCACTGCAAGAATTTTTTTTTAGCTGAATCTGTGTTAACTATTCCCTTTTTATAAAGGGTGATTTTGAAGTTTGGAGAGGTTAAGAGTTACTCAAGGTAGTAGTCCTATGAAGTATTTTTGTTTAATTCCAAGGTCCATGCTTTTTCACCCTACTTTATAAGCTAATATATAAATGTAAAATAGTACTACTGTAGTAGTTACATTACTTGTATCTTCTTTGTAGCTTTTTAGACAGATAATCAGTGTCTAATAAGATAATTTTGGAATATCAGTAAACCAGACTAGAGCTATGTAGTGTAATAGTCTATAACTAGCCATTCTGAAAGTTAAAAAATATGTCAAAATCGTATCTCTTGATTTCTAGAGTTTCAAAAAGTACCATTCCTGGAACGAATCATAGCAGTCTTGATTTGTAGGCCTAAAGTCTTCTAGGTTTAAAAAAAAAAATTACTAGTTAAAAAATGAGTTTTTTTTTTTTTTTTTTT